TTCCTAATAATAAATATTGAAACATGTTCGTTCCTATTTGGTCAAGCCCAAGTTTTCACGTAAGAGCTAAATAAATTTTGATAGTGACACGGAACGGAAACTATAAAATTGAATACGATTTTTTATCGATGTTACACTGATAAATAATATTCCATCATAAATACCAAGTTTTTTTCTTTTTATGTTGAAAAAAAACTATTTCCGGATATCGATTGATATTATTCCAACTGTTACTTTCAAGTTATGCTGTCTTTAAAAAAAAGTCATCAAATCTTTTCTATCGAATCTTCTTATCGGAGAAAAAATTGAGGGTAAAAAAAACGGGAAAACTTGGGCTGCTATAAAAATCCAAATTGTGACTCGGAAAACCTATGACCATGCTTCGAGTTTGACAAAGGGACAGCGAAATTACAGACGATATACAGTAGATCATTGAGTATGCGAAATCACAGTAGATTTTCGGAAGTCTCGAAGTGAATATCGACTGCGATACTGTGTGCGTGTGTAAGAAAAATAATTGACGATGAATAATGTGTTAAATATAGAAAATGTGTTTAATATAAACATGGAAAACCTCAGGAATATAGTGGACGAAGAGTTTGGAGATGAACTAGAAATGGAGATTAACAATATTGACAATATTAACATTGACATTGAAGACGAAGATGAACATGCGTTGTCTGACGACAGTGACTGCATAAGTGATATGAGTGATGAACTTATGGATTATTCAGAAAAAATTGTTACGCGTTTGGAACTCCTTGTACTGAATAGTAATAGAAAACATTGCACAATACAATTTTATTATTCGACAGGTGGTGCTCTAATTATATGTGCCGAATGCATAGTTCGTCTGACGGACACTGACATTGGAATAATGTATGCCGTTAGGAAGCATGAGATAAATACTCTTGATGCGTAAACAGTTTTTATTCCAATTGCAGTCAGTCCGTATATATAACAATGTCATGTAACATGTGCCCAATTTGCACCGCGTAAAAAAAAGACGATATTGTAGACAAATCACGTGCAAGTGCAAGTGCTTCGTGGGACGTAGTATAAAAAAATGGAACCTCTCGAGCGAGTGGAACGCGAGCTGCTAGAACAATGCAGCCAGGTCGCTACTTTGGTGGAGTGTTTCGCGTGGCTGCAACAATGCGACGAGTGTATCAAACAACTCGAAGAACTTAGTCGTGTTAAGCGTCCTCGATTCACTGTTGCAAATAGACAATCTGTGGTGGCGAGGATCGCATGACTCGCGGGTGCAAAGGTACAATTAGAAAGACGTTTCGTACACGTTGGTGGCGAGTACGCGAGCACCAGTAGAGACAATAGATCTCTCGTTTGGCGCGAGATTGATACGGCGTTTGAAAGCCGTATATTGACTGGTGCGGTGATCAACGTGAACTATATCGAGCCGCGACGATTTTTGGAAGATGCCGGTGGTGTAGTGCTCGAATGAGTGCGAGACATTATAGAAAGACACGATAATGTAAAAGTGAACACCGCGTTCAACGGCGAGTTTGTGACGGGCGATAAACGCGCCAATAAAAGTATAAACACTAAAAATAGTAAACTCTTTCGAGTGTCAAATATGGATGAATACGAGCAGCACGTCATCGAACCTACGTTGGCATCGCTCGAAGAATTTCAAGAACGCGACAGTGGATGGGCGCTATCACGTATATTAAATTTAACAATTAATGTTAATAAATATAATCCCATGCACGCGAGGTGTTGCATCGAGTTACCGCGGGAAATTATGTTAAAAAGAGCAGTAATTAACGTGTAGTCAACGGACAACGCGTGTTTCGCATGGTCAGTGGTCACGGCCTTGCATCCGGTCGAAAGGCATACAAATCGGGAATCATCGTATCCACATTATACGACGGTGTTAAATCTCCAAGACATTACCGACGTTTCCGATGACGTTGAATCAAATTAAAAAGTTCGAACATCTCAACGAAATCTCTATCAACGTCTACGGTATCAAAGAAAAGGAGATTCTCCCAATACATCTGACAACAAAGAAGATGGAGAAACATGCAAATTTGTTGTACATGCAGGATCCGCGCGACGATAATGGGCACTTCGCGTACATCAAAAACTTATCCCTTCTTGTGAGCTCGCAACTGAGTAAAAAAGAACACAAGAAATATTTTTGTGATCGGTACGTATGCACATTTTTTAACAAAATATATAAAATATGTAAAATATTTTATAATTGTTAATTTAAATGCTAAAAATACTAAAAAATCATGTTTTCCGTTTGCAGATGTTTACATTATTTTAATTCATCCGAGAAATTGGAATCGCATACGATGGATTGCGAACGGATGAACGATTGCGCCATGAGGACAACAAGTGGCTTGACTTCAAGAACTACTGCAACAAAGAACGACTTCCATTCATCGTCTACGCAGATCTTGAGTGCACACTGCGAAAGATGGAGCCGCAAAGAGAAAACACGCACATCGAAAACATACATATCAACAGCAGCACAAGATATTTAGCGTAGGATATTATGTGCGATGCTCGTACGACAATGCGTTATCGGCGTATCAATTTCGTCACGGCGAAGACTGCGTTGCATGGTTCGTTCGACAACTCGAAAATTTGGTGCATCAAATAAAAATTTTGTTATCCGCGAATGTCCCTATGGAAACATTATCGAGAGATCAGTGGGAGACATACTGTAGCGCGTTGTCACATTTGTGAGAAATCATTTGCGTCGGACGACACGCGGGTACGTGATCATTGCCACCTTACAGGTCGTTACTGCGGACCCGCACATTCGAATTGCAATCTAAACTATAAAAAATCATATTGCATTCCTGTAGTCTTTCACAATTTATCCGGTTATGACGCGCACTTTGTTATCACAGAAATAGCTACGGCGTACGAAGGCAAAATTGACATGCTGCCGATAACAAAGGAAAATACATTTCATTCACTAAACATGTCAAAGATAGATCAGATTCGCAAAAATTGTGTACAATTACGATTCATCGATTCGTATAAATTTTTGAGTACCAGTCTCGATAAATTGACATCTTTTTTAAAATAGAGAAATATTGAAAATTTTACATCCCGAATTTTCCACGTTATCGAACGAGGATTTTGATTTGTTGACGCGTAAAAGGTGTCTTTTCTTATGAATACGTAGATCGCGCGGACAAGCTGCAGGACA